GGATGAAATAAGTGGACACATGCCAAACCCTTTGGCTAAGACTTACCCTGATACTCTGTTAGCCATGGTGATCCCCGTGGTGGCTGGACCTCTTCATACTTGTTTATATTTTCTTATTTTTTGGTGGCAAACATGTACACATTTAGGATCATGCTAAACGGGTTTGATTTTCTTCTTACAGTCCTTCCATCTCTCAGAGGAAGGACATCAATTGAACTAGGAATTGAGGGTGACCAGTTAGTCCAGTTCTTCCTCAGAGGATGATGTTGCTCCATGCCCTTCCAGGTGGCCCCCGCAGATGGCTTCTCTGATCTCGCCATGCAAGTGATGACATCCCCGTCAAAGAATTATATTCTCTCCGTGATCAGCGGGAGCATCTGCATACTGTTCCTGATTGGCCTGATGTGTGGACGTATCACCAAGCGAGTGACACGAGAGCTCAAGGACAGGTAGAGCCACCTTGACCACCAAAGGAACTACCTGCCCAGTGCCCTGTTTGTACAGCCCTCCTGTATAGTGTACTACTCACCTCGCCCTTCTGAGAGGGTGCACCAACACCCATGTTAGAGCAGCAGCAGGTAGCCTCCACATTGTCCCATCTCAAACGTCAGCCATGTCCACAGCGGCCCTCGTCCTCAGCCCTTTGTGCAGCAGCAGCAGCAGCAGCAGCAGCTGACCGCTTCAGTCCCTGCCTTTGTGGGCACACATTTGTTGACCTACCTGCAGACAAGTCTCTCTCGTACCAACTCAACTACCAGGACTTCCAGAACCAAATAACCTGACCTGCAACTCAACTGATTTTTTTTTTAAACACCCCCCAAAAAGGAAAGCAATTTTTAAAGAAAGGGAAAAACAAAAAATGTGTATAGTAATGAATTTCCTCCAGGCTTGTTTTGGGCAATGGGGTTATTTCCTCTGTGTGACTGTGAGGTGAAGGCAGGGCTATAGAGGTAAGCACACCCAGTCTCCTCCAACTCAGAAGCACTGTCAAACCTTGGACATCAACCACCCACG